TGTTTGTACCCATACAAACACACACACCCCCACACACACACACACACACACACACACACACACACACACACACACACACACACACACACACACACACACACAAACACACCATGCTTCACTGAGAAGCGAGGAGAAGCCGAATTCATTTACTAGACTGTAATACTAGAATTACTAGACTTGACGATGTGCACATGTATCTGTCAACTATTCTTCCATTGTGACCAGTACTTATCCAGCGGGTAAATATGTACAATAAATATTTCATTCATTCATATATGACTTCTGCCCAGGTAAGCCAACAGATGTGTTGAGTGGTGCCTACCTGCCGGCAGGTGCCCTGACGGTCCAGACGCATCTCTTCTTGTTGGGATACTCTATAGGGAAACCCGGGGACGTGATGGTTCCAAATCCCCCATCAATGGTTCCCCCACACTCTGCAACAACAAGAAAGCCGAGATTTCAGGTTTCCGAGAAGTATTCTGGGTTCTTCTGAATGTATTGGAACTGTATGATGTAATGTCATGGTGTATTACACCACCTCCTGAATTTCTGAACCTAGCCTCGCTTATGCTGAGGTCACATTTCCGGGCTGTTTCGATTAACGAAAAATGATTTTTTTAAATCAAGAATATAGTCAGATAGTTCCCATTATTTTTGCGCTTTGTTGTCTTTTATATCATACTTTTCGTTCCATAAGACTGCCCGGCCGGGCCCCGGTTTGGAAATGTGACCTCAGCATTACATGTACTTAATTCAATATGGCGCGTGCGCATGCTGGGTCCCTAGCAATCAACGTTAAGTGTCAGCAACCACCCATGCCCACATTGCAACCTAAGCTATTAAGACAAGCAGAGACACAACTCCACAACCCAGCCGCCCAAAGCCGTACATGGAAGTAACAAATACAGCGTATGAAACCTTACGTTATTACATAATGACGATAAACTTCGTTACACAACAATGTAACAAGAAACAATAACCATACTATGGGATTAATCTACCTTACAAAGACTATGTTGTATGGGATGAGAATGTGCTTTTACAATTATCAATGAAATTTATAACGTTCATGTTTTAGATACATATTATTAGTAAATTTGCTATTTCAATTCTTTTAGAATTAAACGTATCAAAATATTTAGGGCATATAATGAAAAAGGCATATTCGTCTTTAATCTGTTTAATCGACACTAGTTATGGATAACGATTCTGATTTGTTTATATCCATCTTTGTGTGTATCTGTATCTTTGATTTTATTGTATTTTGTTCTGGGCCCTATTGAAAATCAATTTGGCAAAATTGAACTAGGCCACCCAGGTGTCAGAAGATTAAATAAATATATAAATAAATAAAAAAAATCAGTTCTGGGCAATATGGGCAAATCCTCTGATCAACAGGTATTCTCTGAAATTTGAATATGTCTGTTTGGGTGATGAAACATGTACGTATCACTATTTTATCCTCGTCTTGTCAGGCTATTGTAGTAAAGTTACTCGTATACAACACTTATTCTCACCATTTGCGTCTCGTTTGGCGAGGTCAGCATGCTGTACCTCCACCCTGTAATGAAACATACAAACACGACACGTTACGGATTATTTAACCACTGTCCAGACGGCATCTTTCCACTGGTGGCGATTACTGGCCGACTGGATTTCTGTGACTCTTCATTTTATGTTTGAAATGATATACGTGATGCAAAATTAAGATTTAAAAGACAACAAAATACACAAAATGTAAAAGAAGGCATTGTCGTTCGTTGAGCGATCTGTTAACAAAATGTACCTGTCAACAGTTGTAAACAAATGGCAACATGTAGAAGAAGCATCTTATGATAACGGTTATTGTTGCCTAAATCTAATGTAGACAATAAGTTTATAATATCGAATAGTAGTCAGAAATGAAGGAGGGGTACGCATATTCGGATTTCGTCGGGTCATTTGTGGCTGTTTCTGAATTTTGTTAACTTAAAAAAAAACAAGGTAAAGCGAATTCTCCTGTGAATCATTTCTAGTTGTTTCATCACAGTTAAAGAGCAAGCAGAAACGTAAATTATTCGGTCTTATTCAAGTAATGTTTCTAATGTAAGACCACGCCCTACCGTTGATAAGTTTACCATTGAAATCATGTTAGCGTCATGATGGTAGTACTGTACATATCTGTTGGATACCAGGGACAAGGGCATGCACAGTACTGCTTGTTGCCCGACGTCTTAATCTTACACTTTTCCTGATAATTCGCTGTTGTTTGTATACTTGTTTGTTAGTGTCGACGTTTGTTTATATTTTACGTCACCACCAAAACAGTAGTACTTAAACAAATTGAGTATAAATCAATCAATTCTATTGCAGTAAATATCTCAACCTTCCCCGTTTTTCACAATTTCGGGACGAGGAAATTTCGACCCAAATGTGTGGAATCATCATCCCATTGACTGAAATATATGCGTGGCCTCAGGGATGAAATACAGGCGGACCACGTTCTTGAACATTCTGCCGTGTGTGTTAATGGTACTCAAATTCGTCGTAGGCCGTCCTAGAATGTTCAAGCAGTCTGTGACAGATTCAACCACAGGCAAAGATCTGAGACAGACTTTTCCGTCAGAAGACAAGCTGAATTTTGTACGACACATCTACGATTGCCCCCAAAATGCCTTCTGTTTGTGATCGTGCGATATACGAGTACGTAACCGGGTTCTACTCGTAGTAAAACCAGCACTGTATCTGTCTACGGAAGCCTTGTAACGACAGTAAATTGAGGGCATTCTTGTGAGTCATAGTTGTGTAGCATTAAGTTGTTGTTGTTGTTTTTGAGACGGAAAACGCTGCCGTCGATTCTAATTGCCGGTTGGTTCGGTCATGCTAAAAATCCTACGCCACAAAAAGTCACTGAGCAACCAGCCAGATATTTGGTCTCTCAGCGGTCGCACCCTCTAGTGGAAAGGAGGTGTAACAACGTTAAAGTGTTCTGCTTACCTTTGGCAACAGGACAGCGTTGCAAATAGTAATATCCCTGCCACAGGCCTCCAGTCCATCTTGCTACTGCTCCCTGATTTCTCCACGTACGGGAATCGGGAGCTGATTAGTCTGAGAAAAAAAAGATTACATGAATTAAACAATAAAAAACGGTACAGTGTGCAGTAGTCACTGTGTCGGCTGGCTTGTCACAGCTTTCAATTTTTTTTTTGCTGATTTATTT